ACATATGTTTCATATGTTTGTTGTTGTTTGATTTATCATCTACGGGTTTATGTCGAATTAATTTGATGGCCTGCTCCCAGTTGGCTTGTTAGCTCAATTGGTAGAGCGCTGCACTAGTATCGCAGAGGTCAGTGGTTCGAATCCCGTACAGGCCTGAAATTTTTTTCAGGTCTGATTTTCACTATTGCTGAAATAGTGCTTTACTGTGAAGGATCGTGCTCATATACGTCTCATAACCGCAGTTCACACATATGTTTTATCAAAGCAAGTTATTTGAGATGGAAACGAATTTAGAGGATGGTTATGCAATCAGATTTTTGGGGATATTTTACTGGTTGTCTAAATCTTGAAAAACTAATATTGTGTGTTTGAAATATTAACGATGTATCTAAGATCGCAACGGTTCTGAACCCTTGGCACGAAAACAAGATAAGTTATACGATAGACAATAATCAATACCGTTACTACGGGCAGGGTTGCCAGCCTTACTGATATTAACATATTTTTGTCAATTCAGGCCATCTTTGCTGCAGTTCTGAAGAGAATGGTCCTTCCAAAACTCTCCTACATAGCAGTGGTAGTCTTTGTGTGTAGTGTGATTTCCAATGCTTACGCACAACAATGCAGCGTGGGCGAAGTCTCAAAACTTGGAATGATGCTGCAACGTCACATCTTCAAGAGGATCACGGGAGCTTCTCTGGGGGATGTGTGTTACCATGAGTGTACCGCTGACGTCAGATGTCAAAGTTTCAATTACGTTTTCACTCAAAACACTTGTGAATTAAATAACCGCACCAAGGAGGCCAGACCCGACGATTACGTTCCAAACGCGGAGCGGTATTACTTCAAACGAGAATTGAACAGAGGTAAGTCAAGATCCAAATATAAATTCTCCCCTTTGTCTGCCGTAAGTTTTTGACAATTTTAGCTCGTGGAATTTTTCATTTTTAAACAGTTGAAACCTCATTCATTTCTAAGGGACAAGTCATCATATGTGGGGGTGGGAAGGGTGGTGGCCAACAGAGTGTAAGGGTAGGAGGACAATAGGAGACTGACTTTCAATTAACTGCCAATTACGGGGAGAGGGGCATTAGAATCTTACAGAGCGTTCCTTCCTTTTTAAAATCTGTCTATTTACTGAAGTTAAATTCATCAACTTGTATCGGTGTGCCGCTGTGAATTGAACTAAGCAATCACAGTGGAGTATTTGCGTCATGAGGAGAAGGGTAACCCGGGCGACCACATGACCTGAGGAAGACAAGCAGAATGGAGTCTGACGGTCGCCACCCATATTGGTGGAGAACAGATCGAGAGAAAAAGCCAAAAAAGTAGAAATCTTATCGCTTTTTACCAGTATGAATAATCACAGCCTTTACGAGCCAAAATAACATGAAAATCAACACCTAATGATACAATAGCCACATGAGGTATTTTTACAATACATGAGTATTTTCTTGTTTAGTCTCTCTCGGTTCTACGAATGGCACAATAATACAATAGCCACATGACATATTTTTACAGTACACATCTATTTTCTTGTTTAGTCCCTCTCGCTTCTATTCCTGAGCTGCCTGCGGAGACTTGCCAAGAAATCAAATTGAGCGAAGGAGGACAAGCGGTCAGCGGCAAATATTGGTTTTCTTCGATTGTACCCGCGAAGAAACAAGACCGAGGAACACTGTACTTTTGGC